CATATTAACTGGTAGATGTTTATTTTCACTACATACAGTTTTTCTGCCTTTAGAATTACACATATTCCTAACTTTGCAGACAGGTGATTTAGTCATAGTTTAAAAATTTCAAGAGAAAGATGATGATAATTGAGAAAAAAATGACATACTCCTAAGTAAAGAGAATATATAAGTACTGTACATACTTTCTGTATTTATAATTAGAAAGATTTTATCTCATTTATAACAAGTATATTACAATGTATTTTGAAAAGAAATACATGTATCATAAATCTCTAAATTCTTCACCAAATAATGTTTAGATTTGTAAAATGTGTGATGTAACTTTTTCTTTCAAAATTAAATAAGCACTGGTTTTTTCTAGTATCTGGGAAAGGCCAACCGGAAGAAATTTCACGGGGAAGGGGTGCACAACCAAAAATTTCAGGGGGGGGGGGCACTAACTAGGAAATTTTTTTATCAAGTAAATAAGTTAATATAAATATGTTATTGTTTACATGACATTTGGGACACAGGGATAAAGTAGCTATGTTTTCTTAAGCATATAATTATATATTGACAAAAGTAGGGGGTCCCTCCTCTTCATGTTTCCTACGGCCATAAAAAAAGAAAATTACAAGTAATACAGTATAAGTCTATGTAGAATAAATTAATCTCCAAGTTTTATTTTATGTTGGTAAAACTTGATCGAACTTTTTTTTATCAGTCGTATTTGGGCTTAAATAGTCTTGTCCAACGATTCCTGGCACTTCTTATTTGGGTCATGTAACGGCTGTATCCATTTTTAATGCTTTTATTCATAAATGCTTAAAACAGGGGGTATTCTAGATATACGACTAAACTCATAAGATTCTGTAGGCATATGCATACTTTTAAACATGCTTGAAAATCCAAAAATTTCACTGTATCACTGCCATATCTAAAGCGCGACGCCATTGTGGCCCTTCAAGCCTTTGATTTTTTTTTTGCTGGTAGGTGGTTATTTCAGTTAGGTTAATAAAGAGAAACATACAAGATGTAATTAAATTTCATTCTTATATATTCATTCATAAAGATGATGAAGATACCCAACATAATGATTAAAAGATAAAGAGAGTAAATCAGATTGGTGATCAATATCCAAAAGACAGGATGGTGGATCTAAAGGGAATGGGTTCCAATATTTTCCTTTGTTTATTGCATGGTTTTGAATTTCACATTTACCCCAGACAAATCAAAATGAGTTATTTGTAGGTTGATCTAATTAAGAGGCTTTATCTTTTTGATTATGGCTAATTGATTTCAAACAGTTAGCTTATAAGTCATGTGATATCATGATCCAAAGTTATGAGTGGTGGATCCAAGGGGAGTTGATATTGAATTTTTAATTACTTATCATGCTTATTGTAGATCATCATGGGGTAAACTAATAATTATTGCACATTTATTTAAACATTTAAGTAACCTTTCTTTGTGTGATAAGTGATGGATCAAAGGCATGTTTTTGTATATTTCACCAGTAATTGTTTTGATAGTTGAGGTGGATCCAAGGGGGTGGATAGACATATTTTTAAATATTAAATTTTGTAATGTGTCAAAGGAATCAATAATGATCATGTGATGTTTATGGTTAATTGATTTTAAACATTTAACTTATATATCATGTGTGATCAAAATCTAAACTTATAAGTGGTGGATCCAAGGGGTGGATATTAATCTTTTTTAAATATTTGTGGTGGGTGCAGGATCAAAGAATATTAATGATCAATGATTATGGTTAATTTATTTCAGACATTTAGCTTATATTATATGTCATGTTTGATCATGATCTTAATTTTAAAGTGATGGGTCCAAGGGGGAGTGGATATTTATGTTATATAGTAGTTGTGGTTGATCCAAGGGGAGTGGATATTAATTTTAAATACATGTATTTGTGGTGGGTAAAAGGATATTAATGATTATAAGCTTATAGCTAATTGATTTCAAACATTAAGATTATATGTCATGTATGATCAAGATCTAAACTTATAAGTGGTGGATCCATGGGGAGTGGATATTAATTTTATTTTTTTTTTAAATATTTGTTGTGGATCAAAGGATATAAATGATTATGGCTAACTGATTTCAACATTAAGCTTACTGTAAAAGCACAAATATTCGTGGGGGATTAAATTTCGTTAATTTCGTTGTTGACAATATTCAACGAAATTAAATCCCACACGAAATTTTATATGACTATATATTGAATAGGTTTTTTTTTTTCAAAACAACGAAATTAAATGCCCACGAAACTATTTTTAATGACAAAACAACGAAATTTTATGCCCACGAAAATTTGTGCTTCTACAGTATATGCCATGTGTGATCATGGTCTTAACTTACATTAGTGGTGGATCCTTGAGGAGTAAATTTTTTATTTTAAAATATTTGTGGTGGATCAAAGGATTTTTTTATTATAGTTTTTTAAATAGAAGAATTGCTGTCCATCCAAGTGTTTACAGAAGATTCCCACCAATGCAGTTTTTTCCATCAGGAAGCAGTTTTGGAAACTGGTCATTACTCAGCAGAATCAGGAGATTTCAGTATTGTATGCAAACAAAGATAAGACAGTGTCACCAGCACAAATTTAAGTCCCCTTTCGGTTGATTGTACTTTTTCTTAACAAATAAAAATCAGTATCTCAGATACTCCTCTTCTCTTGGCAAGTCATTTGGTTGAGTTTTCTCTGGCAATAGTATTTGTTTATGACCCTCACTTTAATTAAAATGGCTCTGCAAAAGCAGTTTAACAATGGATATATAACAGTCAATTTTGCATTGTTATGCCTCTAGATCTGCCACATAAAATATGATTTGAATTTGTATATAATTGAAGATAAAATGCTTCATAAAGTATATTCAGACATTGCATTCTTATCCCATTATTCCCATATCTGCTTATTTATTTATCCCATGGGATTAAAAATACCCAGTATTATGTACTTTGCAGGATTTTTAATCCTAAGAAGGGCAAATATGGGATTTTTAATCCTATGTCGCCTATTATGGGAGAAAAAATCCCATGGGAGAAAAAATCCCTCAAAGATTTTTTTCTCCCATGGGATTTTGGTGGGATTTTTGGTGGGATGAAAAATCCCGCCATTCTCCCATGGGATTTTAGGTTTTGACAGAGGTTTATGAGAAAACTACTACCATGTGGAAGTTGAGATTGACATGATGAGGTCAGAATAAAAAATCCCACCAAAATATAGAAAAAAATCTAATGTAGGTCTTTTCGAAAGGGTACCTAAAAGTCCGGACTTTGTCGTGTCCGGACTTAAATGTCGCAGTGTTTATAGATGACCTCTAAACTGAAAGTATAATTGCCAAAGTCATGTGACGTCGACATCACATGACAAGTCTAAAAAAAAATCTAAATGTCCCCAACATGTAGCTTTAAACCACACTACATTTTTTTTTATATCAGTGAATTCCTAAAAAGAATCGCCCATCCTAATAAAGTATGTATTTCTTATCTTGAAAAAAATAGCCGATATTTCCATTTGTAACTTTAACTGTGCTGCGAATCCTTCACTTACCAGTTTTACACAGTTTTCCCATCCAGCCTGTTAAGCACCCTCCAATACATTCCCCGAATTCGAAATCACATGGACCTGATTTGCAATTTCCGCAAGCAGATAAACAACCTTCTCCGTAGTAACCGGCATCACATGCTGTCATATATAGCAAAAAAACCAAAATACACAAAAATTTAAGGGAAAACAAAAAAATATAGCGTGTTTTTTGTTTGTTTGTAATTTTTTTTTACAAAGGACTGTTATTTAATAGAAATACATTGATTGATTGAGCATTGATTTTACTTAATGAGAACTCTAACTAACGTTTGAATATAACGAGAGTTCTGATATATGAAACCTGACATAGGTGTTGGATCAAAAAATAAAATTGAAGGTGCAAATTGGCAATATGTAATAAATATTCCGTTAAAGTCTCATTTAATTTCATTCAGTGGTATGAGAGGATATAGAAAAAGATCGGTTCCAAAAAGCGGAACACAAGGCTTCTCGTACAGGCGGACGGACGGACATCCCGATCACTATACATCCACCTGCTTTTCAGGAGTGTGTGGGGTATACAGATTCATTTATGTATTCTATCTAGAATCTATTCTTATCAATCGCAGAGCCAAGTCTATTACATTCGCAATTCGTAGATTCTAAATTTTATATCTGCCTAAGTGTAACGAGTCTAATTCGAGTGCACCGCACTCTGCGCAGCTTTTTAATTTCATGAAGTCATTTGTGTGACAGTACATTATTTTAATTTCAATACAAAATTAACATTAATTGTAACTCCTACTGATCTGAAAATGTGATTTTGCGACAATTATTGGAAAAAGAACGTTGAAATTTCGGATTTTGTAAGCAATGCATGACGCTGTAGAATGACGCAGGACTCGCTTGTATGTTCAAGACGTCCATGGATATTATACTAAAAATTGATGACATAACTTCCCAAGATACATACTAGCAATCTAAAATTTGCTATTTATGCCAAAAAAATTGTATGCACCGATAATTCATCAGCAAAAATGTGTATTTATAGCGTAATATGGCAATTTTATAGGTATTTAGCTTCGGAAAAATAAACTTTGTAATTATTATCTAGACAAATCGAGATGGTGAACTTTTTTGAAATTTCACAATTTGGTGACTTTTTAATTTACTTTCATTTACTTGAATGAATAAGAAATCCCTAGGGGAGAAGTACAAAAAATATGGAAAATATGTAATAATTTGGCGATTTTCAAACAAATTCCAATAGAGTCCAATGGTAAAGTTTGAGAAAATTTAAGATGACCCACTACGAAATCGGGGTGGTGAACATGCGATTTTTTTATTCCTAAAACAATTAATATTACAGTAAAAATTAAATTTCAAAAAAATTATCAAAATCCCTTGGGCAGAAATAATTAGACTCGGCCTCGTTAAGTTGTTTAAAACTATATATTTGAAAACATGTATTGAACCAGCCTCGCTCAGACTTGGGATGATTCATTGAGAGAGTACTATTATATATTTGAATTACGTGTTTAGCAGGTTACATTGTGCAGGTGTGAGCGTGAAATGTGTTTGACAGGTCTTGGTAGCTAAACCCAGTTTTGTATAAAATCCAGGGGGAGGGGGGGGGGTGTTCAAAGAGAGAAACATGCTTGGTAGGGATTTTCCTGCGATTTATAGGAGTCTAGATGAAAACTGCATCTGTTTAGTTTTTATTCAAATAAAGTAGAGTCTTATCTTAATATTAAAATAAGAAAATGTGTATTTATTTAAAAAATATATTGAGACTTTTAAAAGGGGGAGATAACCCCCAAAACATCCGGTTTTTACATATGCAGAATAGCATGAGTCAAATAGCAGGTAATGTAGCTCTTTTAAGAGGTGGAACATGTACTCTAGAAGCACAATAAAAGAAAACCTTAGGACATGTTCTTTGAAATACATGTAACTTATTTTGTCTGATTTTTTTTCTGTTTTTGTTGAGCAGGGGAAGGGGGCTAAAAATGCAAAGGTGCACTGAAAATGGATGCATAAACAACCCGATATCCCCAATGTTTCATGTGTCAAAGCCAGAAAAGTAGTAATTGATGAATTTATTATAATTGGATATTTAAAAATATTCACAGTTCTATCTTTCCAATGATATGTAGTAGTCTATATAACAAGCTTCCATTTTATTTCTTTTTAGGAGTCAGTTTTGCTTGTCCCTCACCAAGTAACTTCCTGATAACGTCACACATAACACTGTGTTTTGAATCGTTGAGGAGTAGCATTTGTTGACATTTCCCATATTTATTTGCCTGTAAGTTCATACAAAATTCCTTTATTTGTTTTACTTTATGTAGTAAAACGTCATGTCAAAATTGAAAGCTTCGCAAGGTCATGACCTTCAATTTAATTCATTGCAAATCAGAATATATATCATCTGTATAGATATACATGAGACATAGACCTATTGTGTATCTAGTTAGGCTGACATAATCCTGACTTTTGAGGCAATCTTTTGATTAAACACAGTGTCTATTTCACATTAGATACCCCCTTGTTCATACAGAAAATAGCAATATTTGTAAACTTTGTCTGACAGCTTTTCAAAAAAAAAATATAATGTAACATTTTTTTGTTATTCAGATAGTGAATATTCCATACTTTGTCTATTTTAAACTGAAGAAAAGGAGAATAATTGTGTGAGCTGATTCAGTTAGGTTTGAATTTTTTCTTCGAGTCCTTTTTCATGAATCAAGCAATGTGGTAGACTTGTTATACTAAATTTACAATTTCTTGCCTATTTTTGGACTAAAATTAACAAATTAAGCTCCATTTTTTCTTTGGAATTTTGCTCCTTTGCACCTAAATTCAAAATGTGAACTGCAAAACATTTTTATTTCCTTTAACGAGTAGCATTTGTTGACATTTCCCACATTTATTTGCCTGTATGTTCATATAAAATTGCTTTATTTGTTTAGATTTATGTAGTATACCATACAATATAATCTGAGGTTGACACTGTGTAAGACATTATACCTATTAGATACATGCTCCATAGAATTTATACATGTGATAAGGATTCTGAGGACTAGAGTTGTTATTTTACATCATGACGCAACTGCATTGTGACATCAAAGTGTGACGTCATGTCAAAAATGGAGGCTTTGCAAGGTCATGACCTTAAATTCAATCAAGATTATTTGATTTTATATCAAATAGTAAATAATTAATTTATGACAGGGTTTTAAATGTTTGGTTAGTTAGGACGAAGTGTACTCAAGTTAATACATCAGGAATATTCAAAGATGTATTACGAGTCAAACTACGTACGAATTAATTATAAAGGTGCACCGGAAGTTATCCCCCTTTTCAAACCAGCAAATTGTTGAAATCAGACAAGTCATAACATTCTTTGGAATAGAATTCGACACGGTCAATAGGACTATGAAACTCCCCTCAGAAAAATCAAACCAAAAAGAACGTTGAAATTTCGGATTTTGTAAGCAATGCATGACGCTGTAGAATGACGCAGGACTCGCTTGTATGTTCAAGACGTCCATGGATATTATACTAAAAATTGATGACATAACTTCCCAAGATACATACTAGCAATCTAAAATTTGCTATTTATGCCAAAAAAATTGTATGCACCGATAATTCATCAGCAAAAATGTGTATTTATAGCGTAATATGGCAATTTTATAGGTATTTAGCTTCGGAAAAATAAACTTTGTAATTATTATCTAGACAAATCGAGATGGTGAACTTTTTTGAAATTTCACAATTTGGTGACTTTTTAATTTACTTTCATTTACTTGAATGAATAAGAAATCCCTAGGGGAAAAGTACAAAAAATATGGAAAATATGTAATAATTTGGCGATTTTCAAACAAATTCCAATAGAGTCCAATGGTAAAGTTTGAGAAAATTTAAGATGACCCACTAAGAAATCGGGGTGGTGAACATGCGATTTTTTTATTCCTAAAACAATTAATATTACAGTAAAAATTAAATTTCAAAAAAATTATCAAAATCCCTTGGGCAGAAATAATTAGACTCGGCCTCGTTAAGTTGTTTAAAACTATATATTTGAAAACATGTATTGAACCAGCCTCGCTCAGACTTGGGATGATTCATTGAGAGAGTACTATTATATATTTGAATTACGTGTTTAGCAGGTTACATTGTGCAGGTGTGAGCGTGAAATGTGTTTGACAGGTCTTGGTAGCTAAACCCAGTTTTGTATAAAATCCAGGGGGAGGGGGGGGGGGTGTTCAAAGAGAGAAACATGCTTGGTAGGGATTTTCCTGCGATTTATAGGAGTCTAGATGAAAACTGCATCTGTTTAGTTTTTATTCAAATAAAGTAGAGTCTTATCTTAATATTAAAATAAGAAAATGTGTATTTATTTAAAAAATATATTGAGACTTTTAAAAGGGGGAGATAACCCCCAAAACATCCGGTTTTTACATATGCAGAATAGCATGAGTCAAATAGCAGGTAATGTAGCTCTTTTAAGAGGTGGAACATGTACTCTAGAAGCACAATAAAAGAAAACCTTAGGACATGTTCTTTGAAATACATGTAACTTATTTTGTCTGATTTTTTTCTGTTTTTGTTGAGCAGGGGAAGGGGGCTAAAAATGCAAAGGTGCACTGAAAATGGATGCATAAACAACCCGATATCCCCAATGTTTCATGTGTCAAAGCCAGAAAAGTAGTAATTGATGAATTTATTATAATTGGATATTTAAAAATATTCACAGTTCTATCTTTCCAATGATATGTAGTAGTCTATATAACAAGCTTCCATTTTATTTCTTTTTAGGAGTCAGTTTTGCTTGTCCCTCACCAAGTAACTTCCTGATAACGTCACACATAACACTGTGTTTTGAATCGTTGAGGAGTAGCATTTGTTGACATTTCCCATATTTATTTGCCTGTAAGTTCATACAAAATTCCTTTATTTGTTTTACTTTATGTAGTAAAACGTCATGTCAAAATTGAAAGCTTCGCAAGGTCATGACCTTCAATTTAATTCATTGCAAATCAGAATATATATCATCTGTATAGATATACATGAGACATAGACCTATTGTGTATCTAGTTAGGCTGACATAATCCTGACTTTTGAGGCAATCTTTTGATTAAACACAGTGTCTATTT